GTAGTACAATTTAATTTATTAGACTATTTCAAAGGTTTGTCGCATGGTTGCTTCCAACTTCTTAAATTCGAACCATTCGTTAACGTAACAACCGTTGGTGAAGTGATTGTTGACAAAATGAATCAAACCAACATTATCAAATTCACGATTTTGATTGGTCAATCAACAATTGTATAGGTTAAATTTTGTTACCTGTTCTTATTTCTTTGCTCAAACAAGTAATTGTTTTTTATGTGTAAATACTTAGTAAACATTCTGGTCTTGGGATAATTCTTGTTCATTTTATTCAAACTATTCGTTTATTAGTTTTGTTTGAAATATTTGAATTATTCGTTTTACTCAAATTATTCATTTTATTTGAATTATTCGAAATATTATTATATTATTTTTTTCTTTATCATTTTTTTTTTTTTTTTTTATAAAATAAAGACATATTTTTATTTAAACAATCATTACCATTTCAACATAGTACTACTACTACTACCATCCTATCAATTGACATCCTATCAATTGCCCAAATCCAACTCACTCCTGTTCTAAATGACCAAAACTAACTAAACAACATGTGGTAAGGTTATTTTCTAAGTGAAGAAGCAAAGGATTAGTTTTAAGTTTTTGTCAAGCATAAAAGTTTTTCTTTGCATTTGTAGAAGTATTTGAGTGTAAATGTAATGAGTTAAAGTTGTTTGGCAAAGTATAAGGTGTTAACAATTGACCAAATGTAAAGTGCAGATATTTATTAACTAAAGTCATTAACACATTTTTTATTTGTGTTAAAGTAATTGCTGTAAACATACAGCTGTTAAATGAACAATTTAAGGAGTCTTTGTAAAATTAATAAAGCTTTAAGTGGTCAAAGGAACTTTTGCCACTTTACATAAATTGTACCATAAAGTGCACTTACAGATTGTCAAAGTTTTCTAAGTACAAAAAAGAGGCAGTAAGCAAGAAAATTGTTAGATAAATTTGTAAAGTGACTTAATTGATGAGCATGGAATATAAAAGTTTGCAATTAATCAATGAGTGTAGCTCAAAAGTTAATATATATAAATGCTTGAATATAAAATATTATTAATAATAATAATTACAACAATAATAGGCATAGTAATGGGTCACTTCAATTACAAGGAAGGATTTAGACAAAATATAAA